GCGCGCCCGGGGCCGGCGCTCCCTCCGCCCAGTGCCCGGTGCCATGCCAGCCCCGAGCACCTGGCGGGCGCATGGAAATGCCCCCACGGGCGCCATGGCGCCCGCGGGCACCGTGTTGGGGACCACGGGTCTACTCTTTTGTTTTGCTCCTACCTGTGGGCCACCTGATGAGCCCTGTGTAAACCCAAACTGCACCGTTGGCCGCAAACTGACGGGCTGCGGGCCGCATGTGGCCCGCGTGTTGAGTAGTCCTGCGTTGGAGGGTGTTGCTACAGTATGCAGAGTTACCTCAATCTTGAGCTGTTGGGATAACCTTTATGAAGTAATTCTAGCTGACATGATTCAGAGCACCATTTCTCAAATGCAGGCACTATGGCTGCATGTGGGCATCAGGGATTTTCTTGTGGGCCCGGTCACCTGTGCTCTGATCGGTGGGGAGTATCAGCAGCCCCCTCTTGCTCCCTGAGGCTCCTGGATGCACCAGCTTGGTATTGCTTGCTAGTGTCAACAGTAGGGATTGTGTCTGGCAAGCTTGGGGACAAGTCTGTTGTGAAAAGTAACACTTGTGTATTTAATGTAGTTTTTCAGAACAGACGTGCCTAGCTAATAATAAATACGTTATGATGATAAAGATCTGTATACGTGCATATTTATTTGGCTTACTGAAAGCTAAGTAAGTATTTCAGGAAAAAGTTTGAGAGCAAGACTTGGTGATCATTCTCTGCAGCCACCAAAAATTTGTCCTGAGAACCCCTGATTTAGAGTAACTCTAAGGCTATCAGCAATACAGCTCCAGAATAAAGTCAGTGTTCCCTCTCATTTTTCCATCTGTGTGCAGAATAAATTTTATGTGCATTAAGGCGTGTGTACATGTTAACCACCAATTGAAACATATGCTGCTGGCTGTGGGCACCCTGCTAATCAGTTGGGTGTCATCTGAATCTTTCCTGGATGGCCGCTCAAGTGCTTAGCTTACAGGGAGCACTGCTGTGGTGCAGATCAGTCCGTGGCAGCTTCCAGGATGGGGAAATATAAAAATGCCTTTAAAGTGTTGGCCTTTTCTTTCCCTTCCCTTCCCTATTACAGGTTAGACCTCCCTGGTCTAGCACACTCGGAACCTGAACGAGGAAATTTGTTGAACTGGAGGATGGTCAAGTCCAGCCCCTCTGCAGCTGGCCTCCAGACTCTTCCTGGGGGATGGCACGCTCCTTCTTGCCGGCCCCGACCACTCGGCCACCATATGTTACATTTTAACAGCCAGCTCCATTAACAGACCTCCATAGGTCAGGGCTCCTGTTGTCAGTCCTGGATACTGCAATTTTCTATATTTTATCCACAACTCAGATACAATTATTTGACAGTCATTCCACAGTTCAAGTAGGGCCTTATTGATGTTTCTCTTTATAATTACTATGGACAGTAATGCTGTTCCCTTTATATTATAAGAGGTTTGATTAATTCTAAATATGACATTGTTTTTGGGGTGATAAATTTGCTGAATGGATTTTCTTTCACTTCACAATGGTAAATAATGTTTAAATGTTGATTTCAGTTATTTCTCCTTGCTTTTCACTTTCACATGTTTGATTGCTCATGAAATGAAATTCTGAACGTAGAAGTGCACATTTAACATAAAAGTTCTGTAATAATTTTTGTGAGAAAATCACATATCCCTCTCGTACAAACCCAACTACTGTGTGACTGTGTCATCCACTTCAGTTTATGGACTTCACAACTAAGTTAATACGAGATTTATGAGTAGCCCTGTGAATGATAGTCCAGTAAACAGATCTGCAGGGTATCTTTGCAGTGTCAGCTGTTACATAATAATTGCTGTGTTAACTTAAAACTGTAGTGTAAAGTTAGCTAAATGCATTTTCACCATAATAGCAATTCTTGAGAATGGCAGTTAACCTGCTCTGATCGTTAAGATTCTTAGATCCACTGACTTAGCTTTAATTTGGAGCTCTTGGGAAGGATAGATTGTTTTATTTTTTTCTAACTAGTGTAGTTACTATGTTATGGGCTAGAAATTTGTTTTTCTGTAACGATTAGATTGTGGAGAGACTGGTATTCCTCCCAGAATCGAGTATGCAATAAGTGTTTCATAATAAAAATTTTGGTTACTACCATCCATCTACTAATTCCCTTTAAAATACAATATTCTGCTTCCACATTTTACAGCTAATTCAGAATGATTATTTGTGTTTCTCTGAAAATTTCAAGGAAAATCCACAAATAGGGT